TGGTGCTCCTGGATATGAGAGATGGGCTGCCAACAAGGATATTACTTACTGTATATAGTCACAAGAAATCAATGACAGATTATCAGAGACAGAGGGCAATATCTCAGTAAGAATCACAATTCCTTGCTCCGTTTCCGGATCAGATTGGAACCCACTGACTGAAGGGGCTGATTCTTTAGAAGTCAGGACCCTTTCATACCAGGGCAGATATATTCATTTGTTATTCTCTAGGTACTTAACCAGGAGAGTTAAGACTAGTTACTCAGGTAAATGTGCTATGTGGGAAAAGAGGAATCCTCAGAACTTTTGAAGATTGTTGAACATTGGTTCTGAATTTACATAAATCCCTGGAGGTGCAATAAACCAACACGGCTCCCTGTTAAAGGGAGGGGGATATAAGGGCCATCAGAATCCTCGCCAAAGTCTGGTTCTCAGAGGGCCCAGTAGTCTATTGACTAATCTGCTGGTTTTACCCCTAATCACGAAATGCATAAGTGAAAGGGACACCCTAATCTCCAAATGCATAATTGAAGAACCTTCACAATGATTCCTTGATTTCTTGAGTAAGAGCTATTGTAGTGAGGAGGTGTAAGTTGAACTTTCTGAAACTTGCTAACCCAGAGAAAAGAGTGAATTTCCAAAGAGGATGGAGTAAACTAATGAAACTTTCGGAGAGCTGAATATTGTGATAACTCCTACCATATCCCACGTATTTCATCAGGTCAGCTCCTGCAAAGATCGAATAGAACATGGCAGGTGGTAAGACAGGAGACCCAGCTGCAGCTACTGTGCTCAGTGTATTTTTTGCTTATTTAGTTTTGGTTTTGTTTTGCTAGAACAGGTTACAATAGGCTCCAGCACTTGATCTAGCAAATGTTTCTAGCCACACTTATGAGGAAGGAGAGGTGGATGCTATTGGCATTCCCATGGGATAAACGATGGTTTATGATCTTGCCCTCAAGTCTACCCAAGTTTCTTATACCCTTTACCAAGATGTAATCTAAAATAACCTGGATTTTATGGGCATAAAATTGATTGACCATATGATCAACAACATGTAATAGAACCAGATGAGAGATATGGGGCACGTATGTTGGAGGTCTTGGTTTACACATAATATATACGCCAAACTCTAAGGTTTATACACTATAAACCTCAGAGAATAGGTAGTAAATCTTACAAAGGTTCATAAGACTTTTGATTACAGTCAAGATGGGGTAGACACATTCAGCCTACTCCTCCCACTAAAGAGTTTATCAAACATAATAAGGCCCTAAAAGTTGAGGGGGGCAAGGCAGATCAGGTAGAAACCTTGAGATCCAAGGAATGACATTACAGCTATTTCCCTGTCTTCCCCCACTCCCAACTCCCCTTATGTATCCCAGACTGAGTAGTAGAGAAATCAGCAATCCGGAAATGCCAATGGATATAACCATCATCACCATAACAAAAACTACTTGGTTTCCCATTTTTCTCTTTTGGTAAATGGCTTGTGGTGTTTGAGAAGTAGTGGCAGTGAGATAGGGGGAAGAGGGTGGGAAGGGTGGTGGAGGTTAAGAAGGATTCAAATTATAACCTGACGATCAACAAATTTTAGCTGTATTTTATGATTTGGTCTTATCGGTTATCTCCTATGTCAAGCTAATCGTCAGGTGATAGGTCAATTGTCCAATGAGCTTTCCAGGAATACATACATTCACTCAATAGCAAAAATTCATTTTCATTGACTTTATAACTTAAAAATCTATTGGCCAGGGTGCCTGTGTGTCCCCGAATTGGGTTCTCTGCTCAGCAGGGAGCCTGTTTCTTCTCTCTCTCTCTGTCTCTCTGCCTACTTGTGATTTCTGTCTGTCCAATAAATAAAGAAAATCTTAAAAAAAAAATCTATTAGCCAACTTCAGAAACAAATAAATTGAAATATCTTAACCTCATCTAAGTGGAATGTTCTCTCCCACTTAATAAACTAAGATATTTATTATTAAGTTAAATTTAATTCCTTTGAAGTCCATACAGTAAATCAACCATATACAATTTTATTACAGTGTTTATTGTTTTATTGGCAATTGAATTACTTGAAGGGATGTAAGTCAATTCATTGAAAAATAGAGACACTATGAAACTGGAAAGCATTTAAATTAAGAAATGTTGAAGCACATGAAAAGTGAATGTGAAAATGGACCAAACTCAAGGCAAGTTCTGGCTTGTCCATGAGACAAGGGTGGTGCCCTGGCCATTCCAAGGAAGATGAACTTGTATTTGCAGCAGTTTCTCAACACTTCCTCATTCATTTTTTCTTATTCAAAGAACACAAAGAGAAGAGCTCAAGATTTTTGTCTTCAGCTGCTGAGTACTCTCTAAGAGGCTTAGAAATCGCCCAAGACCAGGGTTGAGAGCCATCCCCATCACCTCTGCTCTTCAAATGCCTGATTCTGATTCTCTTCGAAGACGCCAGGTCCCAGAGGAGGTTGCATGTCGTAGGCTAAAGGTTGAACTCACCGTGACGGGACACATGCCCTCTGAACACACAGTGCTCCCTTCATAGGTCACGGAAACAAATGCTGAATCCCATTTTTATCGCACATCACACCAGGATCACAAAGAATCCTAGAGTATCTTTATTTGTTCTATAATTTAATAGTACACCTATAAAATAATTACATTATACTTAGAGCTTTTCTTCATTTATAAACAAACCAAAAAAAAAATTAAATACAATTTGAGCCATTAGAAGGTAAACTTTGTACATAGAAGAACCCCCAGAAGGAGCTTAACCCTGCAGCATATCATATTGTTTCCATTGCTACACCCACAACTGGGTTCAAAGAGAGTGTACTCATGTGTGTATTCTGTGAGTTCATAGCTTAATCCTTCCTCTATCTGCGTGGGTTATGTGTTAATAAAATGAAAGGGTTGGCTTTGCAGTCAGCCAGAGAATCCCATCCACTCCCAACCTCCTCTACTCCACTGGCCTCCATTTCAGTCATGTGGGCCTCCTTCCTTCACAGCTTTTCTGCCGTGTGTTCTGCACTGTGTCTAACTTGAGGTTTTCCAATTCAGGCAAAAATAAATTCTCAACTTGGACACGCTCTCTGCTCTTTCTTCCCATCCCAAGGTTCCAGCCTTCGAGGATTTCTGTTGAGTTCTGCCTCCTGATGGAGGGCTGTCTATCCCCCATTTCTAAAACCAATACCCCCTTTTACAGCAGCATACTGTGCTCCGGGTCTCATGGAGTTACGGGGTAGACAGAAATGAAACCTGCAGTTCAGGGGCAGGAAAGAGATTCAGGGACACGCCACACCTTGCTCTCCAGGTGAATGCCCCTAGACCCCCCATCAGGAAGCCTCAATTCCCCCAAGCAGTTTGTAGAGGGTCTCACAAACCTGGAGTGGGCCTTTCGGAGTGCCTTTGGCAGTAGCACATGAGACTTGGTGCTCAGAAACGACCAATGAAAGGTTTTCAAAGTTTGCTGATTCCCACCAATGGCATCTCATGCACATTCATCAGATTCCAAAAACGCTACTCACAGGGAAGACTCTGGGGGGCAATTTAGCAAAGGGACACAAGGTAAGTATAATTTTGCAAGAAAATAAATTATGTCAGCTTTCTTACACCAAGAGACCTCAACATACAATCCTCAACAATTCATTATAAACATGAAACGTAAGCTGATGTTTGATCATCCTTAAAAAAAAAAAGTCCATTCTTTGAAAACGAAACTCCTGTAGGATAGCTTAACTAGATTTCTATTCTATATATTTTATCTTTTATTTCCTCCTACAGCACAAAGTGACCTGATTCCTTATATGTTTAAATAGTTTTCTCTTTTAGCAGGAAATATTTTTTGTTTCGTGTCACGGCAGTAAAGTGGTACAGCTCCTCAGGGCAAATACGACTATTAAACATCACAGGGCTTTTAAGTTCCCTGTGAAAGACTCCCCAGTGAGTCCCCTCCCTACACCCATCTGTCCCAACTCACTTCCCACATTGTGCTGCGATGATTTATTTAGTACCTTCAGTGAAACAGTTTTCACCGTAAGATCACAATGTGAGATCACCTGCCATCTCCCTGCCCAATGTAAGACTAGGTCCTGGCCAGTGAACTGCTGACCGGGCATTATTCCTGAGCTCAACCCTGCCGAGCCTTACTCAGAACCGTGCTGCAAAGCCGGAGTCCAAACTCGTGAGACGATACATGGATAGGTCTATAGCGCTTCTGCACAGCCCTTTACAATACCGGTCAGTTACAAAACCAGCGTTAATACGGAGACCGTTGTGTGTAATAATATTCTAATTGCAGCGGTAATAGCATGCACACCGGAGTTCATCGGAGTCCACACGTGGGGGGAGGGGGGTGAGGAAGAAGAGGTGGTGGTGGCTGGGGGTGGGGGAGAGGGCGGCCTGCTGCGAGCAAGGCTCCCAGCGAAGCCCATTTCATGATCCCAGTGGCTCAAGTCGTCTTCTCGGGTAGCGGGTAGCGGGCTGGTTAGGAGAACCTCCCCTCCGCGCGCGGGGACGCGGTCCAGGCCCGCATCGCCGCCGCACGAGGACAGTACCCCCTTCACCGAGTGGAGGCTCCCCCGGGCCCCGCGGGACAGGGCCGAGCGCCGCATCCTTCACTTCCGCGCGACGAGAGCTGGAGTGTCGGGGGAGGCCAGGGAAAGCCGGGCTTTTCCACACGGTGGAAACATCAACGCCAGACTGGCCGCGCGGCCCCCGAAGGTCCTCTCCGGCCGCCGGCTGGCGCGGAGCGGGTTTCCAGCCGCGTCCCTCGGGCCGGGAGCGCAACGCGTTGGGGGCGCGCAGGGGGTGGGCGCGCGGGGGTCCCGCGATCGACCGGACGCGGCGGCGAAGCTCCACTTGGGAGCCGCGCGTGCAGCGGAGGGGCCACGGGGCAGCGCCGCGCGGGCTCCGAGGACGGGGACGAAGGCGGCGGCGGCGGCGGCGGCGGCGGCGGCGGCGGCGGCGGCGGCCCGGGGAGCTCGCGGGGAGCCGCGGGGGCTTCACTGCTTGTCCGAGTCGCTCAGGTTCACGGACATGCACCGGCACTGCTTCACCTTCTGGATCTTCTTGAGTCGGAAGGGAGGGTCCATGCCGGGGCACTCGAGCTCCACGAGGACGGAGGTGACGCGCTGCGGCTTGCAGAAGGCGCACGACTGGAAGGACTCCTCCTCCTTGCGCACGTGGCGCGGGATGTAGAAGGAGTTGCACTGGCCGTAGCAGAAGCGGTTGAGGACCGTGCGGCTGCGGCAGCCGTCCTCGCTCACCGTCTGCCGCAGCGGCTGCGTCTTGCACCAGTCACTCTTGAGGTACTTGCGCTCGGTGACCACCAGGGCCTCCTGGCTGGAGGCCAGCACCTCCTTGATCTGGTGCTGCCATCTCTCCGAGTGGTTGCTGCTGCCGTCCTTGTAGGGCGACGGGATGGCGCCCGCCGGCCGGTTCTTCCGGGCCTCGGCCGCCTTCACCAGCACGGCCACCAGGCACAAGGACAGGGAGAGCTTCCAGAACATCCTGCGAACGAGAGAAGAGTGAGAGGGGTTGGCTGGGGCGGCGCTGGTTTCAGGAGAGGAGCTGCTGTCGGGTGCGGCGGCTGCAGGGGAGAGGGCCTGGAGCCCCTCCGGACGGCGGGGACGGGGGGGTGGGGGACGCCCTCCGAAAGGCGACGCGAGGGGCGAGGGGGCGAGCAGAAAAGAACACAGAGCACTCACAGGGCTGGACTACAGAAGAACGACAAGGCGAAGGTCGCCAACGATAGCCACGCCCGCTGGCCGCCGTGCCAGCCATAGCGACTGCGTTTCCCTGCATCTTCATTTAGTAGGTGACAAGTCCTGTCCCACGCACATCACGTGTTTTCCTCATGGGATCCTAAAAACACGTCTAAGTTGGCCGTTATTATACCTACATTGCAGGGAAACTGAGGCACGCAGACGTTAGGAATTGGCCCACGGTCGCACAATCGCTAAGGAACGTCCAGGAGTCACGCACCTGTCACCGGAGCCACCAAAAGGAGACACGGATCCGCTCAGGAGGCTCAGCAAAAAGAAAAGGCAAGCGGGGTGGGGTGTGGGTCACAAGTTTCTTTAAAATAAGTATTAACCTACGAATGGGCACAGACCGGGGAAAGTAATATTTACACCTCTGGTAATTGTTAGGAATAGAAAAGTACATTGACCCTCTGCACAAAGATATTCAAGTTAATTCAAGAGAGTCATGAAGTAGAGTCTAGGAGTGGAAACCACTTCCCAGTCGTGAATTAAGAACTCTCCAAGGCCCTTATTAAAACGGCCTTAGAGAACGCAACAGTAACCACATGAATAGATTCTGCCTTCTGTGTATTAGGGCCTCATGACCCAAGTGTGCAGGGATGGGAGCTTGAGAGGAGCTTCCTTACAATCAGGTCTTGTAGGAAGCAAACCAAGACTGCCTGAAAGATGGACTTCTTTCAAGCTTAATTCAGTTCCCATTGCTACATTTCCATTAATCCCTCCAGGGACAGCAATACCCTCCCCCACCCCCCCAGCAAAGATGATCGCTGAGGACTGCAGCTCCTTCATTACCCTTGTCATCCTCGTCATCATATTCACGTTTATTCATTACTTCCCTGGATATCTTACTACCTCGAGAACTGCACGAGACTCTCATTCCTTTAACATGCACACACCAAAATGGCATGTAGAAATTGTATATATATCATTATATAGTTCTATAATGCGTACTACACATTTATATTTAATTTTTATTTAATATTAAATGTATATTTATATAACATAAATATATAATTATAATAATATAATCTATATAAATATAAATAAATTTAATATTAAATATATTAACCCCCCTGAACTATTATCAATGTCTTACATATGTTTCTGCTAATAATGATAGTTAGTATTTATTGGTGTTCAAAACCCATCCCTCTTACAGTTTCTTTTCATGTATAAACATATCAGTTCTATGAAATAGGTATTAATATTTCTCCCACTTTATGGATTAGGAAACTGAGGCATGTAGAGGCTTCACAACTTACCAAGATCATATGTCCAGTATGTGAAATATTTGAATCCTGGCTCCAGGTAAGGGTAGCTATACTATAGCTAAAAATATTTGTGTTAAGGGATACTTGGGTGGCTCAGTTGGTTAAGTATCTGCCTTTGGCTCAGATCATGATTCCAGGGTTCTGGGATTGAGCCGTATGTCTGGGCTCCCTGCTCAGTGGGGAGTCTGCTTCTCCCTCACTCTGTCCCTGCTTGTGATCTCTCTCTCACACTCACTCACTCAAAATCTTTTAAAAAAATTTTGTGTTAAAATATCTATGCTAAAATATTCCTATATGTCATTATTGTTAATCTAAGTGTAAACCACAAGAGGCTTTTGGAAACCACACAGCAGAGAATTCCTTCATTTATCAAGTTTCACTGAGTATTTATTCTGGAACAAACTCTGATAAGCCTTGAGAATTCCAGTACCTCCCTCAGAGACAAAGAGAAAGTTCTTCCAGAGTCGGACGAGCCCTGACAAGATCTGCTCTCCCTGTTCTCATCCCATGGACCTCCTCATCAACACTCTCCTACTTGCTCTGCTCTGGCAACCCTGCTCACCTTTCTGTTTCCAGAAGGTATGTGGCACTTTTCTGCTCTAGGGCCTTACGTTTGCCTTTCCCCTGATGTTGACATGGCCTTCTACCACCGTCTTCAAATCTTTGCTCAATTATCGCCACCTTGGGTGAGGCCTTCATGGGTGACTTCATCACAGCCCTGCCATTCACTGTCTCCTTCATCCCTGCTTTGTTTTCCTCCATGGCACTTAGCATCCCATAAGAGAGTACTGAAAGATCTGATGGATTTTTGCATTGTCTGACTTCCGCAACTGGAATATAAGGTCCAAGAAAGAAGGACCACCTGTTTAAACACACTGTATGTCCTGCAGTCGGAACAGTGACTGGTATAAAGTAGATACTCAATAAATAACGTGTTGAAGGACACACAAATACCATGCCTTTCGGCCTGCAGAGTATGGAAGCACAATGGGATAGGTTTGCACAGCCAAGAACATCTGAACCACTGGGATGCTTTAGAATGTAGATTCCTCAGCTCCACCCCCAAAAGACCCCCAAACCAGCAGAGTCGAGGTGGAGTTTGAGATCTGTGTTTCAAAGAACTGCTTCCGGTGGCTTCCACGGGCCAGTGCCGCAGGGGATGGTGGGGATACAGGGAAAGAGCATCGGTTCCTCCTGGACAGGGAACAGGAGAGGCCCAGGAAGTAACAGCTAACGAGTGTCTTAAACTCCAAATAGGATTCTTCCAGGCGGTGACACTGCCAAGAGGGTAAGTGTAATGACAAGAGGCAAGAGAAGTAAAAATATTGAGAACAGAGGAGGGAAAAAGGGAAAGGTTTTCTTTTTTTGCAAAAGCATTTTTGGGCAATACAATTACTGAGTACAATACTGAATACAATTACTGAAATTTTGAGGCCGAACTGTTAAAGAACTTTCCTTATGCCTCCTTAGTTCCACACATGAATTGTCACGTGAAAATGGCCACGCTCCCAGCAGATTCATGGCAAGCACTGAGTATTGGACTCATTCAACTTATACAGTTTATTATACTTGCAGAATGATTTGTGATCTCAATAGTCTCTTAAAAAGAAAGTATGTTGGTTCCATTTTAATAATTTCTAAAATTATTAACATTCTGAAAAAACACAACCAAAAGTTTGCAAGTCCCAGCCAGGAAAGATTTACAGAGTCAGCCTGGTCCTCAACCCCCCTAGTTCCAGGAACAGCTTCACAGGCATCTTTGATAGGCTCAACGATGCGTGCTTTTATTCAACAGGTCCTAGCTGTTGTCAGAGAGAACAGAATTAAAACATGTTTCGATCAATTTGGGGCAAAAACTCTCAGATTCACAGTATTAGATGTGATGATTAACAACATGCCTTCTTTGAACGCTTTGAAACATTTTCACAACATCTGGCAATCACCCGAAGTTATTCTTCCCAAGAACCTAGGAGGAAAGCAAACCTCCCATTTGTAAGAGCAGGAAAAGAGGCTGATGATATCGCTTGGTGACTGGGGCCAACTGGGGGTTTCCTTCCCTCCATCTCATTTCTTTACTCCTTCACACAAAGCAACAGGAACGTTGCCAAGGATCTGGAATCTTGGTGTCAGGACAGGCAAGGAGGCAAGAGGTATTTTGCTGGAGTGACCATTATGCTTTTCATTCCAACCAAGGGCACCAAAGCAACTGAGTTTTTGCTCACAGCGCATCTCCTCTAGCCCCTATGTATGCGGGGGTTCTCAGGGGAGTGAACATGCATGCCTCTTTCTTCAGCTGGCTAACTCGCTCTCACACACACACTCACACACACATGTCAGTGGCCCCACCATACCCTGAATTTAGCCCTCAGAGTCTTCCTTTGCCTTGAATCACTTTGCTACTCAGAGAAGTGGTTCGCATACAATTAACGTCTCAGGAGCATTGCCATAATAGTTGGTACCACAGCACGAATATCCTTCATTTTATCCACACATCTTGTGTTTGGCTTGTCTCAGAAGAAACTCGTAAATTATTCCTTTGGTTTTATTAACTATCCTCGGGGGCTGACAACGTTGTCAGTTTGCAAGGGGTGCCGGGACCGTAAATGCTGATCTGCTAAGCAGTGTGGGTTGGTCAAAGTGGGTTGGGCAGAGAGAGAGGAAGCAAAAGCACTTTCCTCTTAAGTAATGCCCTGGGGCCCGGGCTTTCTTGGTGTCAGAACAGGGCTGCACAGGCCAGGATAGTACAGAGGCAGCTAAAGGATCACTGGCCCTTTTCTAGAACATCGGCCTTTTCTAGAGCAATAGGCTCTTGAGTCGTAACGCCTCCTACGTTCTAGGAAAGGCTGCGGCAGTGCTGGATCCTCCCTGCCAAAAGGTGTAAGTGACCGAAGGCCAAGGGTTCAGCTGAGCTGATTAACTCACTCCCAGCTCGACCTCGTTGGGTTTTAGAGGTCAGGTCCAGGCAGTGCCGGGCTGTGCGTGAGTGGCGAATGGGATGAAGCTCAAACATTTTCTGGGACCTAAGTAAGAATTCTGCACATCCTGGGCAGGTTGGAGGGAAGCGCCCAAGGCTGCACATGGACAGGCGCATCTGGGATAAACCTGCTCCCACGGCCCAAGGGAAAACAGAATCCGAATCCAACAGCGAATAAAAGGCCCTTGACAGTGTTAGAATGCCACGATTATTTTTATGAATTTTACTACTAGAACCTCAACAGCCAAAGGTACTTCATCCGTGACGTGGAGCCTTTGTTTGGGAGGCTGTGGCTGAGCTCTCCAGCTAGAGGTGCACGTTCCTTGGCTCGGGGAGCACCCGCTGACTCTCAGCAACTGTCATGTGCGGCCCACGGTGGCCCGATGGGCTGATCCCAGCCTGCACCCTGTTTCCGTAAATAAGGTTATACTGAACACAGCCGTGCCTGTTTAGCTCCATTTTCTTCATGGCTGCTTTTGGGTTACAAAGACAGAGTGAGTAGT